TTTCTGTATTTTTAGTCGCAATTTATTATTTGCTTTGTAAGTATAATCTTTGACGTCAGTTGATGAAAGCTACTTTGAGTTGATCTATTACTGAATGTCGTTTTTGGCATTAAAAGTATTACTTAATACTTTTCGCTGCTTCAACTTGTATATAGAACTAAAAAATCAATTAATTTTGGTGATTTGAAGACGTTCTATCTGTTTAAAATATACGGTAAAACGAGGAAGAGCTATAGACAGGTTACGCTTGACACACTATATGTATACATACATAGTGTAAGCCATCGCGCGTAGATTGAAAAAAAATATTCTAATAGAACTAATCCAAGACTAAAAAAAATAAACTTAATTGAGAAGGTTTAATCATGAAGGAATGAAAGGGTATATGAAGGAAAAAAAATTTGATGCGTGGTAAACACAATTAATCATTGAAAATAAGCCCTAATAAATTCGTTATACATCTATTGCAACTATAAGCTGAAGAGAGATTCGTATCGTCTTAAAATCAAGAATGCGTTGCGTCATAGAAAATAAGAAAACGGAACCTATGTTTTCTGAAATAACCGAGGTAAACTCAAATATTTTTTCAATTAAATTCAAAACATATTTATTACAAAACCGCAATGATGTTTATCATTTGATGTTAAATATGAAAGATTACAAAATATATATCTAAATATTGATTATTTGTTGTTACAAAATAAAATCACAAATAATAGAACATATTATTGCATTAAAAGTTAATAATAATAGTTGTGACACTTTATTTGCACTTAATCTTGAGCGTTTTTCATAAATTGACCCTACCTTCTTTAGAAAATATCCGCTCAACATCTGGTTTAACAATTGTCTCCGATGAAAATCACTAAACAACTAGGTAGTAATATTTTACGCGATCAGAACTTTGAATCGTGCAATACAATGCAAATGGACATCATCTGGGCAGCATCTAGACTACAGACGGACAGCAATACAGGGAATCGGTAGCGGGATTCTATCGATACGATTTAATTTAATTTAATCTTTTCTTGATGCGAATTTGCGTCCACAATCAATGAGACGATTTAAAATAGGTCCAACAGTTTTTCAAAACCTTTATTATAGTGGATCTTAGGCACAATTTTGTTGCACAACATCGATTGTTAGTTCTTAAAACACTATTTAACAGTACACAGCAATGTGCAATCTCATTTGCAATGATAAATACCCGGTCGCTTGATGATTTTCAAAAGTTTGTAATACATTTTTCTGCAAATTGATGGACGATCTTCATTTTTTGCACTTAAACTGCTTTAGTGTGTATAATTGTGTGTGTACTTTAATTGTAAATTGAAAAGAAGACGAAACTCGAACAGGCATTTAGTACATGAGCTCCCTTAACCTAGTATTAGCAGTATCTGCAGCTTCTATCTTGATAATTTGTTGATTCATTGTTATCAGCGTTATAAAATGAACTTCACCAAACACAATAATATCACACGCAATAATTGATAAATCAAAATCACTGTC